CGTCTGGGATTCGTAACCGTTGAATTATTGCGCTCGAATCGTATGGCCAGACTTGGCAGCGAACGTTGGTTAATTGTTTCATTAACATTCCGTGTAAACTACATTCCTGTGCATATTCGAGCGTGCGCATTTAACGCTCTCGATCGGCATGCATTTTGTCCGGCTCGAGAAATCGAGTTTACCATACGGAATAGCATAGTTCACTCACGCCGATTTCCGTGTGTCCGGCGAGCGTGCAATAAAGTCGTTCGAACGAGAACGGACGATTAATGATTTCGCGAGATCGCAAGCGGAGGAGATCGTTTACTCTTGCAACGTAACGTTGTCGCCGAAGTGTTCGCGGAACACTTTAACCCACGATTCTCAGGATCACGTACGGAGAACGGTGAAACATTTCGCTGTCTTGATTTGAAAAGATGTAACGGGTGATCTAGATAAAAAATTTGTTTTTTTTTTAATTTATTGGTTTGTATTTCGACGGATTGTTTTTTCCTCTTCTTCTTACTTTTCTCGTGTTTTTCTGTTCTTTAGTTTTTCGTTAAATTGTTTTAACCAGATATTATGTACTATAGCGGGTGATTTAGATACAAAATTTTTTTTTAATTTATTGGTTTGTATTTTAGCGGATTGTTTTTTCTTGTTCTTCTTACTTTTTTCGAGTTTTTCTTTTCTTTAGTTTTTCGTTAAATTGTTTGAACCGGATATTATGTACTATAGTGGGTCTATGTGGGTACACAAATAAATAAAATCGCGTGAAAAAGAAGTGATCAAATTTCGTCGTATCCTATCGAATCTATCGATCAGAAATCAAAATTTCTTTTGCTTTGCTTTTTGTTGAATCGTGATTTCTATCAGCTGTTATTTTTATTCTCCCGTCGAACCATCGGAATCCGCTTAAATCCCGCAGCGATAAATTCGTAAACCACGCTGTATATTGTACACTATAAAATGTACACACCAGCGAATAAATATATAAAATAGTATAAAAACGGAGTAATAAAATTTTAAAAATCAAATTGTTTTCTCTCTCGTGAATTCTATTTTTTATCATCTGTTATATTCATTTTTTTTTATCGAAGTGTCAGAGAACCAGATCGAATATCGCAGATTTATATATCATCCTGTATATTACACGCTAGAAAATATTCACACCCGTAAACAAATAAATAAAATCGTCTAAAAAGGAGGTAATCAAATTTCGTCGCATATCGATCACGTTAAATACAAAAAAGGGTAAATGCTTGATTTATACGAGGTCGAGTATACATATATCACCACGCTAGATTCACGTGTTTACTATTAAGCAATCGATATTTCCATTCAATACTTCCGATCAATGCTTCGTCTCCTCCTCGTTGAAGTCTATTATCTATTCGTAACAGTATCTATCCGCTGTATCACGTAATTAGACATTGTTTTACATAAGCCTCGATGACGTTCGTTTCTCCCGCATCGAACGGTCCAGCTGTTGGCAAATTCCATTGAGAAAAGTATGCGAGTGAAGCGTCGTGGATGTCTCGCGAGGCAGCAGCCTCTCTCTGGTTCACAAAGAACCGGTGGCAGTAGTTGGCGGAGAGGCTGCTGTGAATGGTCCGAAAATAAGATAAACGAAAGTAACACGGGGGGTAGGTGGAAGGGACACGCCAGGTGAACAGAAGTTTCAGGTAGGAGAATGACCGGGGGCAGATGGTTCATGGAACGTGGAGAGAGAGGAGAGCGGAGAGAGAGAGAGAGAGGGTGGAGAGGAGAGGAGAGAGGCACAGAGAAAAGGGAGAGGAAAACTGAGACAGTGCACAGAGAGAGGGGAGAAGAGAGACAGAGCAGAGAGAGGAGAGAAGAGAGACAGAGCAGAGAGAGGGAGAGACAAAAAAAGAGAGAAAGAGAGGAGAGAAGAGAAAAGAGAGACAGCAAAGGGAGAGAGAAAGAGAGACACAGGAAAAGAGAGACACAGGAAAAGAGAGAAAGAGAGGAGAGAAGTGAAAAGAGAGACAGCAAAGGGAGAGAAAAAGAGAGAGAGATTCACTCTCGCTCCGTGTCCAGCAGGCATTCACAGATTTTTGGTAACTCAGTTCGCCGAAGGTCCGGCCTCCTGGAGGATGTTCCATTTCCCCCTTAATAATAGGAGCGGCTTCTTCTTATCCCTAATGCTATGCCGTGGGCCAACTCGTTTCGTACGTGACGTAGATTCCAAGCGGAAAGCTAAAGTGGTAGAGTCTACTCTATAGAATGTGTATACTTTGAAAATTGATTCTCTAAGAAGGAACGAAAAAAAAAAATTGTATTGTTACGTTGGGACAAAAATTTGTAGCGTTTGTCAAATCACCTGGACCAGTTCATCTTTCAGAAAGATACCAATTTCTGGTAGGATAGAATCACGAATCGGTCTCGAAGATTGCGAAAGATGGTGGAACAAAATAGCATAAAATCTATGTACAAATATCTAAACATCGATTTTGGGTCACTGGAACAAAGTTACGCATGAAACGAGGACTCCTTTTTTAAACTATTAGGTGTAGAAATGAATTCTTTCCGACTTTTGAGCAGACGGAATAATTTCCATTATTCTTGATGACCTTTTGCTATCTTTCTGCCAGCTTGCAAATACCATCGCGGTAGAAACTTGCTGGCTTTGAATTAATTATGCGAATCCAGCCGGAAAGAATTAATTTCTACACCTAATACGTGAAATTCACAAACTTACAGATACCATGCAATAATCCAAATTACCTCGTGACTGAGTTAACCCGAACAAAAGTATACTTAAAATAAAAAATTAAAAAAAAAAAATGAATAAAAATTCACTTAAAAAAGCTACAAATTTTTGTCCCAACCCAATACATCGTAACGATAGTACTCTTTTGTAATAACCTCAATTACAACAGATATAAAAACCCCGTGACTAGATTAACACGAATAAACTACCTATACCTAAAGTAAAAAAAAAAAAAACAATAAATAGAATTTCACTTAAAAAAGCTACGAATTTTTGTTCCAACCCAATATATACATCGTAACGATAGTACTCTTTCTCTTCTATTCTTTTTTTTTCTTTCCCATTGTTGAGAAGTAGCTGAACGTGTGCCGCGTAGAAATCCTTTTCTGATAAAATCAGAGTTCAATGGTCCTCGAGATAAGCGCTGATAATGTCTCTGATACAGTATTAAAATACCGTACGAACCGTGTGTGTGTGTGTGTATATATACACACGGTTGTCTCACGGGCTGCTTAAAATCAGTCGTCGCGACGTTTCTCTGTCGCGTATTATGGTTTTCCCTTTTATCGCGGCCGTGAATCGCGCCGCGCGCGCGGTCAGCAACAGTTGGAAATTCAATAAACGCGCCGCGGAGCCCGAGGAGCACGCGTGTGCCACTACGATCGTGTCGGATAGAGAGGCAATGCGGACTGATTATCGGCGGCATGCGGCGATATCAGTTGGTAGAGTGCGCTCGGCTACGGTAAAATTAGTCATCCGTGCAGTTTGTCATTATACGTGACCGTGTGCTAATGCGCTGATTATAATGCAGCCGTTCCACATATTTTTCGCACGTTCCAACTCCCTATC